TCTCCCTCCTCGCGCCGCCGCCGCGATCTCGCGGGAACTCGCGCCCGCCTCCCGCGAGAAGCGGGCCTGCCACCGCCGTAATGCCGCCAGTACGCGCGCCGCCTACCGTAATGCCCGTCGCTCGCAGCACCCCAGCAACTTCTCCTGCTTCCCAGCTGGGCTTCGCTCCCAGGTCACGCTGGAATTACTGGCAGGAGGAAAAGGGAGCAGCTGGGCCTCCCAGGATGGGCTGATTCCCTCCCACGCGGGTCTCCCTGCAGCTGTTCCTTATCCCTGCACCTTCTGTTTTCCTCACTTTTTCCTTATCAGCCTCGGGGTTCTCCCATCCTTGTCCCATTTGCTCTTTCTTTCCCTCCTTTAGCACTTTCCCAGGACACCCTTCTCCTCGCCCTGTCCCCCAGGCAGACTTCAGGACTCCCACCCGTGAGCAGCCACCCTTCCCTTCTGCATCTGCGAGCAGAGGAGCAAAAGTAAAAACCATGTGAACAAGAAAAGCACCCTGCTCAGGGCAGCCCTCCCTGTAAATCACAAGCTAATGATGTTTTCAAGCAGCAGACTGCCATTTCTCCTCCCAACACAAGCAAATCAACATGCAGCTCCCTAGTTGAGCCTGCTTTGCTAACACTTTCACGCACAATGTTCAGTACAGAGACCCAGAATGGAAGGTTTCAAACAAAATAGTAATAACTTGATAAATTTTTAAGCAAATCAGAAGGAGGTGTCTATAATGAGAACTACTTGGAAGCTTTAGAAGCAGACAGTGCCACCGGACGTCCTATAACTCATGCCTCACTCAGTCTGATAAAAGAGCTATTTAGTGTAAAAGTTGTCACTTCCAGAGAAGATAGCAGCTCTGTTTATTTTCACAAACAGAATTCTAGCAATTCAACCAATAATTTTACTTGTCTGGAATCCAAGAAACATCTTGTCATTTTACCTCAAAAACATCACTGGTGAAATATGAAATACTACTGAAAACACAGGCAAAAATTATCTTCTCAGTTGTGATGACCCTCTTTTGTTTGCTGGATTTATGAGTACAGTCAAGCAACAATTTCTAAATATATCATGTGCCTTTAGGTAAAGCAGCAAAGCCATCAAGCCTCGCAGTATCCCAGCGCCAGTCGTGCACTCTGCATGCCTGCAGCATAGATTGTATGTGACAGCCTATAGGGGCAGATTCTGAAGTGCACAGAAGTGTTATCTACTTTTACATGAGCTAATAAATTGCACTAGCTTTTAAGAAAGACAAAGAGGAAATAAATTGGCTCAAGCTCCCCATGTAGTTCCCTCTTGTTTTGGAGACTGCCTTTGTGGTTAGTCTCCAATATGACAGCAGTAGTAGCGCAATGATGTTCAAGCACAAACATTAAAAAAAAAACACTATAATCACTGTTTTATTGTCATTTCCATTACTCCAGCCCAGGAGGTTGCCTTTCAGATTATTCCTCTCCATTCCCGACAGATTTCTCCACAGGTGAGAGGCTAAATTGGACGTCTCTGCTTGTACAATTAGTGGATAAACTCAGTAGGGCACCATCCTGGTTTCATTTTGTATTTTAAAAGCATTCTTCGTAAGATTTGCAGCATATTAACCCAGGCTGTGCTCAAAAATGCAACATTTAAAGTTGGGGGTCTTAATGATAGGTGGGGGCTTATTTTAAATACGTTGCAAGTAAAAATTTCCAACCAGTGCCTGATCTCCAATTCGATGATCTGCAGTTCTCAGCTCTCATTTCCCTTTGTACAGTCTTGCCAAGTAGTAAGATTCAGCAGAGTCCTTCCGGCTGGCCTGAGGCTTTACAGTTCTCACATCTTGAAACTGCTCCTTCAGTCTCCCTTGAAGAAGACGGGAGTCCTGCCCATCCCAGAATTTACAGAGCAGGGTTCCTTTGGGCTTTAAAACACTTTGGGAGAGATCCAGAAGGCCCAAGCATAACTTGATCAACTTCTGATGATCCAGTTCTCTGATGCCTGTCGGATTAGGTGCCATGTCACTCAGGATAACATCCACCTTCCCTGCAGGAAGCAGGCTGAGAATTGTCCTAAGCGTGGCTGGGTCTGCAACGTCGGCCTCCGACAGGAAGACTGCTCCGGCCAGCGGGGAAATGTGCTGAAGATCAATTCCAAGGACAAAACCAGTAGGGACAGTAGGATCTAGAAACAAGGCTCGTCGTAAGAATAAATGTCACACTGATCACTCTTATTATATAAGTGCTGCAAAAGACTTGCAGATACCTGAGCTCCAAGACATTCAAAACGGAAAAACATATCACCAGAGAAGTATAGTTCTCCTGTCCTTCCTTCCTGTCCTTGCTGTGCATTATTTGGCTTGGCAAGGCTTCCTGCATGCTAATCCATTTACATTAAAAGTGAGTTATCCTAGATAAGCAAGGGGTACTTTTTGCTGTTTATTTCTGTTGATATTTTCAACACTGGCAGTCCAGAAATTCTGCATAATAAAACAGACGATAATGCCTTATCTGGTAAATAGTAGTGGCCTAAAACACATAAACTGTACATAGTGGTTACTGCCATTATTCAGGAAAGGAAAATAAAAACTTAGTAAAGCCAACATTCTGGAGGCCACATGAATTTCAGAGGTGGATGAGGATCTCCCCAAGCCTAGTGAGAACAGGCACAACAGGCAGTAACTACCTCCAACGCAGTTAAGCAGAAGACTTGTTACTGCTATAGCAGCACCTCATGGTATGTTTTTGTTTCACAGATACAATTTCTCCAGATGTGTGTGGATATTTGTGAATAATTACTCTGCTTTACTATCTCCCTGCACCCAGAGATCTGGAGTTCTCTGCTACTTGGAATTTCTAGTGACTGTGGTGACAGTTTGTACCCATGAACCTTCCCCATCAGCAGAGCTTTCTCAGAGGTTTCAGAAGGAGCCTCATCCCCGCCTCGGTTCCTAAGCACGGGCACTCACCGGCACCCAGGGCATTGACCCTCTCCACAGCAACCTGGCTCCAGGCACCGGGGGCCGCTCCGCAGTCCAGCACAGAGAGCCCGGGCCGCAGGATACGCAGCTTGTCATCCATCTCCAGTAACTTGAAGGCACTTCGGCAGCGGTAGTTCTGCTGCTTCGTCGCCTTCACGAAGGGATCCTTCAAGTGCCGCTCCAGCCACCGGTGCTCGGCCCCGGTTTTCCGGCCGAGGACGGCGGCGGCCGCGTGGAAGCGCCCGCGCTGCAGGGAACGGCACATCCAGCTCCAGCTGCTGCCAAGGCGAGAGGGGGGTTAACGCCAAGCACAGAAACACTGCGTATTTCTTAACACCCTACAGCAACTAATTCTGATCCTCGCCATGGTTCCCTGCCCCCCATTTACCGCCAAGTTCCCCACAGCCTCGAGCTGGGAATCTGGAGACCCATAGCCTCTTTAGTTACCTGGTCCAATTATAAAAAAATAAAAACAAAGGCTTAGCTTGGACTAAGCCCTCACCCGCCATTCGCAGCACAGAGCAGGCAAAGGACAATCCCATTCCTCAGAGCTCCCCATTCCTCCCCTGTCTTTTACACTTAAGAGCTACAGCAACCTCCAACTAGTTCCAAACGGCCCTTAGAAATAACGAATTTGGGGGCTAACAAATATCGAAGCTGACGAATCGCCAGCGACCTCCTTGCGAGCTCGTGACCTCCACGGGAGCCCCAGGGCTCCCCGCGGCCACG